AAGTTTCCTATAAAAGCTTGTTATGGGCACTTCCCTATTGGGTTTCGAGCCTACTCCTTCATCCAAGCCCATTTCAAAGTTTTCCTCATAATTATCTTGAACTTCAGATGGACAAGACGTGTAGTCCCTACTTGTGTTTTGTTTTTCAATCCTGTTAGCCTTAAATTGATAAAATATTTTGAAATGACAAAACAAAAATTTGCTAAAATTGAATTAAAATGATTTAAACTTAATTTGAATATATTTTCAAGTTTTAATCTAGTCAAAAATATGTTCAAATTCATTTGGCCTGGTTTAAAAATAAAATTGGTCAAAATAAGATAGAAATGATCGATCCCTCTTCATAGGGATCAATTAATTTTTTAGCCAAATAGGATTTTTGTGCAAATTTCATGAAAACCAATCAATCCTCTCCTTGTATAGATCGATTGGTTCTAGGTTTTTAAAGACAGATCGATCCCCTCATGAAGAGATCGATTGGTTTTTTACATAGAATGAAAAGTTTGTTTTAAAATTTGAATAGGGATTGATCACCTAAACTAGGGGATCGATTGGTTGTGCCTTTTTATGCAAAAATTTACTTGTATTTTTACTAACCCAATCAATCCGCCCATAAGAAGGGATCAATCACTTCGTGCCCAGAATGCTTGCAATGACTATTTTTGTCTGAAATTTTGTAAAGGCTCTAAACAATTAATGCAAGCAATGGCTATATTCCACTATCAACATATAAATGTAGGTCTCCCATCATATTTGGAATAACTTAGAGTCAAGAAAACTTATTGCTTCCATCTACTATCTTCACCAAGCATTAAAGAGTATCTTAGTGTGAGAAAAGTGCATAAATTCTTGTTGTATTAGATTTTCTCTTGATATTTTTTCTTAATCTTAATTTGTACTTTAAATTAACAGCCATTAAACCTTAAAGAGGTTCTTTGAGCTTGCAAAACACTCTAAAAACTTGTATTGTGAGGTTGTAAGCTTAAGAGAGAGGATAACCCTTAAGAGATTGTGTTGTTGATTGTATAAAGCTTTAAAGAGCTAGGTTGTAACTTTCAACACATAGTGGATTGAATTCCTTGGCAAGTGAGGCTAAAGGAAAGGATGTAGGTGATTAAAGGAATGGATGAACCTCTATAAACTTCAATGTTTTATTTTTTATCTCTATCTCTTGGTTCTAAGATTATTAGTACTGATATTTGTTGTGTTTACTGGCTTAGAAAAATCAATTTGTGATTTTTGTGCTTGTTGGATATTGAATTTTCAAAAATTTATTATCAACCAATTCACCTCCTCTTGGTTTAATTCAATTTGAGCTAACAAATCCTTTCATTTATTCCCCCATTTGAATTTTTAGCATTTTCATCATTTTCCTCTTTATCCTTTACCTTGACCTATCCTTTAAGCCAAGCCTAAATGTTTTTCCTACATGTCTTTCTTTTATTTTTTTATTTTTTAAGTTTTTAATTTTCTTTAAGATAATTTATTGTAGCATCAACTTTGGTACTTTGCATATAATGGCATGAACTTTAAGGGCAAGAACTTTTCTTCGCTTGCTTGTGTGGCTTTGAGATTCAAAATTTATTGTACATGATTGTGTTGCTATAAAGGTGCTATTATGGTTATTCTCATTCTTGATATTATGATGCTATATTAAGGTATAGTATTGACATTCAATGATATTGGCCTTGTGTTGAGTATAATATTGTTGCCTTGAATTAATTAAGCAAGGTGATCTTCAATTGGTTATAATATTTTTCCATTGTTCTTGATAGTTTTTGCTATGACAAAAAGAAGGAGAAGTTAGTTTGTGTATTATGAAAATTTGCTAGTGAAAAATTGTTGAAATTTGCTAGAGAAAAGTTGTTGCTAAATTGTTTTGTTACTAGTTGATAAATTTTTAATTGCTTGGAAGACCTATACCTTATATATTTGTTATGTTCATAATGAAAAATTGGCTCTTTCATTTTGTTGATCTTACTTCAATTCAAGGGCAGTTTTTTTAAAAGAGAAAAATGTCTTTAAAGTAAATTTTTAACTATTGGTTTTGTCGTATTAAAAAAGGGAAAGATTATTAACCTTGAATTGATAAAACACATTGAAATGACAAAACAAAAATTTGCTAAAACTGAATTGAAATTGTTTGAACTTAACTTGAATACTTTTTCAACTTTTAATCCAGTAAAAAATATGTTCAAATTCATCTAACATGGTTTAAAAATAAAATTGGGCAAAGTAGCATAGAAATGATCGATCCTCCCTTAAGGGGATTGATTGATTTTTTGGCCAAAATGGATTTTCATGCAAATTTAATGAAAATCAATTGATCCCCTCCTTGTATGGATCGATTAGTTCTAGTTTTTAAAGACAACATCAATCCCTTCATGAAGGGATCGATTGGTTTTTTACATAAAATGAAAAGTTTGTTCCGAAATTTGAAAAGAGATCAATCACCCAGACTAGGGGATCGATCACTTGAAAAAGAGATTGATTGGTACTAAATATGGATCGATTGGCTGTGCTTTTTTATGCAAAAATTTGCTTGTATTTTTACTAACCCAATCAATCCCTCCATAAGAGAGGATCAACCCCCTCGTGCCCAAAATGCTTGCAACGACTATTTTTGTCTAAAATTTTGCAAAAGCTCTAAACAATTAATGTAAACAATGGTTATTTTTCACTCTCAACATATAAATGAAGGTTTCCCACTATATTTGGAACAACTTAAAGCTAAGAAAACTTATTGCTTCCATTTACCATATTCACCATGCATTAAAGAATATCTTAGTGTGAGAAAAGTGTAGAAATTCTTGTTATATCAGATTTTCTCTTGATATTCTTCTTAATCTTGATTTATATTTCAAATTAGCAAGCACCTAACCTTAAAAAGATTCTTTGAGTTTGCAAAACATCTCAAAAACTTGTATTGTGAGGTTGTAAGCTTAGGGGAGAGGATAACTTTTAAGAGATTGTATTGTTGATTATATAGAGCTTTGAAGAGCTAGGTTGTAACTTTCAACACATAGTAAATTAAATTCCTTGGCAAATGGGACTAAAAAAAAGATGTAGGTGCTTAAAAGAATGGTTAAACTTCTATAAATTTTGGTATTTGATTTTTTTATCTCTATCTCTTGGTTCTAAGATTATTAGTACTCATATTTATTATGTTTACTTGCTTAGAAAAACTGATTTGTGATTTTTGTGCTTGTTAGATATTGAATTTTAAAAATTTATTATCAATCAATTTACTTCCTTTTGGTTTAATTTAAGTCTTTGAGCTAATAAATCCTCTCATTTATTCCCCCATTTGAATTATCACCTTCCCCTTATACAGTCGGTTTATCCCTGACAATTCTTCCTGGATATTCATCAATTACCCCAAATCTGGGATCATAATGGTGCCTATTCCGAATATCACGTTCTGTATTGGAGTTCAACTTTTCTATGTTATCAGTCAATATTCTTCAAGCCATTTCTCCTTCGTTCGCTGCCAAGCTTTAGTGTCTTACCTTGCTCTTTCCACTTCCATTGATGAACATGTCTGACGATGTTGTATGAACACTACCTCCCATTTCCCTTGCAGCTTCCTTATATCTTTCCCTCATAGTCATCTTCCACATGCCTTAACTTCTCACATGAATAGTAGAAACTCGACAGCCTTTCGTAGCTCTGCCTCCCCTAAATTTCCTTGAAATTTCCTTCCGTAGTAACACACACAACTCTCCTAAATGGTTTTGTTACATCAATGTCTATTCTCATGCGTAGAAATCTCGACCACCCCTTTGATCAAGACCAGCATTAATTGCTTTAAGATCCCTTATTTTCCATCCTATATTTTCTGCGGTGTTGTAATTCCTCGTACCCAAGGGTAAACCATAAGCAGAAATCCAAAACGTTGCTCTGTCAAACTTATAACCTTTTAGCCTTAGTTTCTCATCATATATTTTTAAATACTGTAATCTGCTTATCAGATGATCATAATGATCCTTCCAACACTCTATTTATATCTATCATCGTAGGAATTTGAATCGTAAATAATGTAAAATAATACATAACATAATAATTTATTAAAAATTTAAACAATTATATTTTATTTTTTCTTTCAAAAAAATTATTTATTTTTTATATCTAGTAATCGTTTTCTTTACCTTCTTCTAATAAAAAAAATTCATATTGATTGAATTGAAAATATTTTTATATTTTGTTTGCGAGGCATAAATTGAGTTATATTATCAACAATCTCTTTTATTAATAGTTTTGTGAATCACAGTTAATTTTCCTTTTTTTTAGGTTGGCTGTCAAATCCTGACTTTGAAATGGAAAAACCCATCACCCTCTAAACTTTTTAATAACATAAAAAGAAAACAGTGAACGAAAGAGCAACAAGTCAACAACCAAAACGACCAAATGGAACATAAGGTGCTAACTGCAAATTAGGGAGGGAGAACGGAAGAGCATCGTATGTACAAAGTCAACAATGTCACGTTCAGAACAGGACACGTAGTTGTCCCACACAGTACACAACCTCAAACAGTAACAGTTCAAAAAAGAACAAAACCACCTTCTTTGATATTCCCTTCAAATCAGGGCATGGCTGATGCGTGCTTATTCAGTGGTCCGAGTCCTGGTCCTAGGATTAAAAAATTAAAAAAATGGGACCCCCAAAGCCAAGAAAACCTTCCATTAATACTACAATCAACCGAAAACCCCGGAGTTGAAAAAACCAAAATTCGGCCATTTCCAACACCAACTTTCAAACGCGTTTTCCTGCTATTATATGTCCAAACACACGTATTAGCCTCTTTCTATTATTTTATACAATATATATATATAATTCAGATCAGATATAAACAAAGTTTGGATTTCCCTTGTCCTATCCCCTTTTAAAACATCAGACAGGCAGCCATTAATACCCCCGGCACCAAATGTGACTTCTTTTTTCTTCTTTTTTCAACTGTTGAGCCAAATCCCAATACCTGGCAAGCCATAACCAAAACCTTTTTTTTTATTTTTTATTTATTTTTCCAAGGATTTATATATATATATATATGTATATATATATATTAACTTTCTCTTCTTCAAATTTACTCATTTGGGTTTTCAGTATTTGTTCCTTTTGGGCTTTTACTCTCTCTTTTTTTTTTTTTTAAAGCATTTCGTTCAATTCTTTTCAGCTTTTGATAACTTATAATTATCTTTCTTTGGTTTCTATTATATATGGTGTCAAACTTTCACTTACTGAATTTGAGATCCAAGGATTTGTATGTATTTTTCCTGTTGTAGAATATATGATGGATTTATTTGTTGGCAATCAATAATTGTGGTTGACTTTCTGTTTTAGGTGGTGCACTTTGTTTCAATAAATCAGGCTCTTAAACTTGCTTCTTGAATCATTTTTCGTAATTGCTGTAATCAGTAGTATTATTTGTATGGATAATTTTTAAGTTTGGAGGTAAGTAATAAGTTTTCTCATTTGTTATCAATTTTTAGTTCATTTTGTAAGCTATACTGTTCAAGTCTTTTCCGTCAAAGTCTAGAGGAGAATATAGGGAGTTTGATTTTTATAAATAAGATCAGATCTCTATGTGTTGGATTGGCTCATCTATTGGTTTTAGATATTGATGTTAAAACTAGTGATAGTATTTTGAAGAAGTAATATAAGTGTGAGAGTAGATGGGTAATACTTGTGTAGGACCAAGCATTACCAAAAATGGATTTTTCCAATCTGTTTCTGCTGCAATGTGGCGGTCCCGATCGCCTGATGACTCAGTTTCTCATAATAATGGGGAAACTGGGGAAACTGGGGAAACTGGGAGTGAGATAGGATCTAAAGAACCTGAATCACCATCACCAGTCCAAAACAAACCTCCAGAACAAATGACAATGCCCAAACAAGAGACTGAACCAGAAACTAAACCTGAAACACCAACAAATCCCAACTCCCCTCATATGAAGAGGGTGTCCGGTGCAGGGCTCAGGACTGAGTCAGTGTTACAAACAAGGACCGGTAATTTCAAGGAATATTATAGCCTGGGGAGAAAACTAGGACAAGGGCAATTTGGGACAACTTTCCTTTGTGTGGAGAAGTCAACTGGAAAAGAGTATGCTTGCAAATCAATTGCAAAGAGAAAGTTGTTAACTGATGAGGATGTAGAGGATGTGAGAAGAGAAATTCAAATAATGCATCATTTGGCAGGGCATCCAAATGTTATATCTATAAAAGGGGCATATGAGGATGCAGTGGCAGTTCATGTTGTTATGGAATTATGTGCTGGTGGAGAGCTTTTCGATAGAATTATTCAGCGAGGACACTACACAGAAAGAAAGGCAGCTGCACTTACGAGGACTATAGTCGGGGTTGTGGAAGCCTGCCATTCTTTGGGGGTTATGCATAGAGACCTCAAACCTGAGAATTTCCTTTTTGTCAATCAGCAGGAGGATTCACTTCTCAAGACAATTGATTTTGGATTATCAATATTCTTTAAGCCAGGTATAAACTGACTGATCTTACTCTCCTTCAACTACCCAAAAGTGGTAATATTAGCTTTCTTTGTTTACCTATTTTAAGCCATTCCTTCGCTGACCTTGTTTCATATGCATGATAGAGGATGGGGAGCAATTGTACAAGCTTCTTCAACTTTTAGCTTTATTCATTAAAAAAAAAAAAAAGAAAGACATGAAAGGGAGGAAAAACACTAATCAAATATGTAATTCTCTGTTGGCATGAGCCCATAAGTGTTTTTGATCTTCATTTTCTCAATTGCATGGATTTCTTAAATTAATTATTGTCAAAGTCCAAATTTTTAGTGAATGAATTCCTATTAGGTTATTAAATCAGCAAAGATAAGAAATTCTCTTCTACATGGAGTTTATTCATGCATGCACTTCCTGCCAGAAATATGACATTACAATAGAATGCTTGTAAAATTACCAAAATAAATTCATATCATCCATGTTCTATTCTCTCTTCATTGGTTTAGGCTTGTAAGTCATGTTTGATTCTTTAACTTTTGTGGCACACAAGGTTCTTTTCCCTTGCACTCTTGTTTGAACACAATTCTGTTCCATTATCTATGAAGTCTTAGAGTTCCACAAGTAAATTTAAGTTTGAGCCCCAATCTTGAAGCAGGTCGCTTCTTTCTTAAATAAGCACTATTTAAAAATGACAAAGATTATCTTTTAGTTAGCATTGGCATGAAATTTACTAGGATTTCCTTTAGTTTCTTTGTAAACAATTTGTTTGTTAGAGATTTTACTCCTGCACTAATTTCACTCTTCTTTAGTTTGCATAGTCAATATAATGAAAACACCTAGTAAATTTGACCTCCACTTGTGATTTACTGACATCAATAGAGGAATCAAAAGAAGATTTACTTTTTCTATTTTGTAATTCTCTTGGCTACGCTCTCCATGTAGGTGAAAAATTTACAGATGTGGTTGGGAGCCCATACTATGTTGCCCCAGAAGTCTTGCGAAAGCGTTATGGTCCAGAAGCAGATGTCTGGAGTGCAGGAGTAATTCTTTACATTCTCTTAAGTGGAGTTCCTCCCTTTTGGGCTGGTTAGAAATTTGCTGATGCATAAGATTTTTCCTTTTTGATTAATCACAACCAATTACAATCCTAGTTTAGCCAAGTGTAATTGTTTTACCAGCCCTTTTGTTTACACCATGATTATTATGTTTTGATCTTCACTTTTTTTGACTTTTTTCCCCTTGATGTAGAAACTGAGCAAGGTATATTTGAAGAGGTCTTGCATGGTGACCTTGATTTTGAGTCAGATCCTTGGCCTAGCATCTCTGAAAGTGCAAAAGATTTGGTGAGGAGAATGCTTATTCGAGACCCCAGGAGACGTTTAACTGCACATGCAGTTTTGTGTAAGTCATTCTTTTAGATAAGCTTTTCTGTTATCATTACTTTTTTTGTTCTTACTTATGCTACTTGGGTCTTGCTGCTGGCAAGTGGGTGCTTCCCATGCTGTTGGCATGGTTGTAACTCCCTTTCTTTCATTTGGTGCTTATGCTAGGCATCCATAGACTTCAGACCCTTTTTCAATTGTCACAGGATGGTTTCCTAGTTAAAAATAAAAAATAAAAATGCTATAATCAGTTAATTGTTAATGCTGTCTGTGGGGTTTTCCTTATTTGCTAGGTATGAATTGAGTAATGGAATCTATTATTATTATTGAAAGTCCGAAACAGATCCATACTGGAGCTCTAACATGCAGCATTGAATCATGTCATAATGTGGCTTTTTAGTATAATTCCTTGGTTAGAAAAAAAAGTAACCATCCACACTGCTGATCAACTTTCATTGACATATTATATGTGTTCAAAAGATTTATCCATCCAAGTGGTTGGGATTCTAGATCTTGTATGACAAATTCCAAACCATCTGCCAAAGCCTTTACTTTATCCAATGGATTGATGCCTCTTTTCTCTCCCATTGTTTCCTTTTGTTTGTCCTTTGGAGAGATTGGAATATGGAACCTAACCCACTATGCGTACAACTTAATAAGGTTCCTTTTTCATTCTTTCCATGAAAATAAGCTGGGTGTTTGAAAGTGCTGTGAATTTGGGGTGGGTCCTTTGTAAAGTCGATGACTTTAATCATATGGCTTATTTGGATTGAGGAATTTGAGGAAAAGAAGTTAGGGACTTTGGTTTTATGAACTAGTGCATCAAATTTACATCGTGGAAGAGGGAGTCCTTAAGTATAGGACAAAACCTTTAGGATTTATTGTGGCTTTGTTTGGTTGGCATTTTTGCTATTTGCTTTTCTATTCTGGGAAAAAAAAAAGGCCTATCTGGATAAAAAAGTAAATAAAATGCTTAAAGTATTACGCACAAAATATGTAATTGTTTTAGATGACAAAGTGCGTGATTCTACTTCTATATGGACTAATTATTTTGTAGCGGGTGTTACATTTTAATTATTTGTTCATTTTTAAAAAATTATAATATTGTGTTTAACTGTTTGTTTTTGCTTTATAGCTATTCTTTAAAAAGCAAATCGCAAAAAACCAATAGTAAAAGCATCAACCAGATTGAGTCTTTTGTTCCATCTTTAATAGCATAGCTGTAGACCTAAATTATGCACTTAGAAAGATTTTGGTCTGCCATGATATCCACAATGTAGATGGCAACTACTTATATGATTAAATGTAGAAGGCAATGACTATAAATTTCAACTGGGCACTTTTTTTTCCATTGCTAATATATTTAAAATTCTATGCAGGCCACCCTTGGATACAGATTGATGGTGTTGCTCCTGACAAGCCTCTTGATTCTGCAGTTTTAAGTCGTTTGAAACAATTTTCTGCAATGAACAAGCTCAAGAAAATGGCCCTTAGAGTAAGTCTCCTGGCATGCTAAACATGATATATATGGGGAAAAGGGGGTTGAGAGAGAGGAACGGAGGGAATAGATGGAGACCAAGACAGAAATGATTGAGCTATGTATATAGAATTGGAAGGCTTGACACAAGATATCAAAGCATTTATATTCAAAATATTTTACCTTAGATTTCCTAGTTATGTTGATGAGCTGAATTTTTTTTCTTTTCTCTTGCAGGTAATTGCAGAGAGCCTGTCTGAAGAAGAAATAGCTGGACTCAAAGAAATGTTCAAGATGATAGACACTGACAACAGTGGTCAGATCACCTTGGAAGAACTTAAAGCAGGATTGAAAAGAGTTGGAGCTAACCTTAAGGAGTCTGAAATTTATGATCTTATGCAAGCAGTAAGTATGAGACCCAATTTGATATGGCATAATGGGGTAAACAACTCTAAGGGTCTATTTGTATTGGGTATTGCAAGAGGAAAATTCTTTTCAATCAAGATATTCAAAAGTTTTAAATCCAAAGGCCTTGTTTGGCAAAAAAAGAAAAATTCAAAATTTAGGAAGAATTTGAAAATCCACCCATAGAGGTGGTTTGGGATTTGGGAACGGAGGGAATAGATAGAGACCAAGACAGAAAGGACAAGTGTTTATGTGGATTTGGGATGATTGTCATAAGGGATAATAAGCTAACCATTTTTCCTCATTCCATATTGATCAAGAAGCACAGGGCATTACCTCACTTCATTGGACCCAAGATTCCTTCCAACACCATATAAACCCATTTATTGACCTTTGTACATCAAACCTAGGCGCAATGGTGACACCTAAAATCATATCAGTTTGTTCAATGAAATTTCTAGAGTATCTTCCTTATTCCATACACAAGCAACAAGCTTCAAGAGGAAAAACTTTTAAAAAGGAGACGTGTTAAAGCAGCACATGGCTAGTTATGCAATTCTAAAGGAAGATAATTAAGGATGGTTTGTGAGTTTGTACAACTATCTTGGTTTGGTTGTAATCAATTTAGGATATTTAGTGTTTCGATGCAACGAAGTATAGAGTTAAAGTGAGAAGGAAAGGAAGATACACCATATGCTATGGAGTGTCTTTAACAATGGTTTTAGCTTCATAAAGTTGATATGATTTTAGCTTCATAAAGTTTATATCCAGATAGCAGTAAGTAGTTTTTTCTATGTTATCCTAAATTCGTGGTGCTTGTGCAAGGATTTGGATTAGGAATAAAGTTTTTCTTCTTTTTAGTTTTGGTTTTCTTTGATCTATACAGAATACGAAATGGATTGGGAATAAGCAATGATGAGTTGTCTAAAATGCACCCATCTTCTTCAACTGCAGGCTGATGTTGATAATAGCGGCACAATCGATTATGGAGAATTTGTAGCTGCCACACTGCACCTAAACAAAATCGAGAGAGAAGATCATTTATTTGCTGCCTTTTCCTACTTTGATAAGGATGGTAGTGGTTATATTACTCCAGATGAGCTCCAACAAGCTTGCGAGGAGTTTGGCATAGAGGATGTTCGTCTTGAAGAAATGATCCGAGAAGTTGATCAGGATAATGTAAGTGGTTTGTTTTATCTTTCATTTTTAATTTGATCATTATAGCATATATTGAGTATTGACCAAACATAAGAATGGGAAGATTTTAGGTAGATATAGCAATTTATCTATTGGTATCGTATAAAACACTGAAAATTCGTATATTTATATTATATTTTATACAAAAATTATAACACAACTCATGTTCACCCAAAAAAATACAAAATATATATTTTTTATTTTTTAAAATTTATATATGATTTTTATTAAAATTTAAATTGATATTATTTTTATGTCTTTTTTAATATTAATTTCATGATATATTATCATGTGGTGTTTTAAATTGTTAAGTCTTAGAAGGTTATATCTCTTGCCTTCTAAAAAAATACATATGCAGTGAAAAGCTGTGGTTCAGTGCTTGAGTAACAGTTCAACTAACCGAGTGATCCAGGGTTTAAGTTAAGTTAGCTCCGCTTGCTTAGCCCCTATACAAATTTAGTTGGTAGTCCATTCCTTTCTCTTCGCTATTGCTTTCCATATCTGTAAATGGTCAGCCCTTTGCATAGTTTCTGAATATTGTTTTATATAAAGTTGTCTAATTCTTATAATAAAACCCTCAATGCATCCATTGGTCATGACCCAATCACTGATATGGAAGAAAACCATCAAAATATTTTATGCTTTTGCATAGCAAAGTTGTGGAGTAAAATTCACTCATGGTCGGTGACCTTTTATTATTATTTTATTTTCATGTCATCTTAAAAAGTTACATTTATCGTCGGTGATATTTATTAATGTTTTATTTTCATTCATAATTTTTAAAAATCATATTTATTTATCCATAACTTTTAAAAATTACATTTATCATCTTTACTTTTTAAAAAATTTTACTATTCATCCATCGTTCTATTGCCATGTAAGCAAAATGAAAAAAAAAATAATTATAATTTTTAAATTAAAGACTTTGAAATTTTAAAAAATTGAAATCTTAAAAAAAAAACTAAAAAAAAAAGAAGAATAAGAAAGAGGGAAAAGGAAGAGAGGGAAGGGAGGAGTGGAGTGGGGCGGGGATGAAAGGAGGCTTGGCCGGCTACATTGACAGCCAACAACATCTGAAAAAAAGGAGATAGGAATTGAGGGAAGGGAAAGGGAGGGGAGGGGAAAGGAGGAAAAGAAAAGAAAGAGGGTAAGGGTAGAGAGAGAAGAAAGGAAAGAAGCGCTTCTCTCGCCCCCCCCCCTCCTCGTTTTTTTCCTTCCTCCCCTTCCCTTCCCTTCCCTTCCCTCAAAAATTAATTAAAATTTTATTTGAACAAATGTTAACCCTATTTTAAGTTGAAAGAGTATTATCTAACCTTAGAGTGGTAAAAATTTTTACTACTTAAGTTTCCATTATGTTATATGTATGTAGTGGAGAGAATTCTTTCTCTTTTAGTATTATTAGTAAAAAAAAAAATCATATTTAATTCTTACGAATGAATAATGAAAATTTTTGAAAGGTTATTGATGGTAAATGAAACTTTTAAAGGTTAGAATGAAAATGAAATTTTTTGAAAGGTTGTGGACTTTAAATATAATATAAATTTTTAAAGGTCACAAGAAAATAAAACATTGATAAAGGGTTGTGACTATGAGTGAATTTTATTCCAAAGTTGTGCTAAAGAATTATCATACAGATAATAAAGTGAATTTAGTATTAAGAAAGTATTATATGAAACAGTTTATCCACTTTAGCATATATTTTTTTTATTTAAATCATGTGACATAATCATATTAATGGAAAAAATCAATCTTTTATTACAAATCACATGCATGAATTTGTTTAAATAAATATTTATCATTTATTTATCACATATAATGTATAATAAATAGTTGATTTTTTTCAAATAATATGATTACATGACAAGATTTGAATGAAAAAAAAAATATGCTAATGTAGAATAATTATTTCATACAATCGTTTTTCGTATGCACTTTGTTAACCATATCATTTGTTCACTGATTTGTATATTCTACTGATCATATGTAGGACGGACGCATAGATTACAATGAGTTTGTGGCCATGATGCAGCAAGGAAATGTTGCCAGTGCTGCTAAGAAAGGCCTGGAAAATAGTTTTAGCATTGGATTTAGAGAGGCATTAAAACTTTAATTTAGGCAACTGTTCAAGTTCTTGTTCATTTTTTCCTTTATAGTTTTGAGGGAACTGAGATTTGTATAGTAAGGAGTAACAGTGTTCATTCCAAGGAGCTGCCAGTTCAAATGCAATGAGCATTTGTTCATTTTCTTCCACCTTTTTCGCAATTAAATTATCTATCATCATGTTGTATACTTTACACGAGGAATTTGTTTGTCTTTTATTTACTAAAAATAGTGCCCCCATTTGGCTTCTGAGTTTTTTTTTTTTAAATAATTTTTATAAATATATTATTATAATAATGATAAAAATTGTAATGTATTGAGTTATTTATGCTTTCTTGAATAAATTAGAGTAATTAAGAAGAAATGTGTAGAATGAGAAAATTCTTTTTCTAATAATAAAGTGACAGTGCCCTTAGAAAATCGTCGTTTAAAGTTTATTCAGTGGCCACTTAAAATTTTTCAAGTGTTATTAAATAAATTAATTGAAAATTTATCAAATTACTTGGGAGATCAAGCTGAAAATATATGGTTTGCTCAATCAAATTTGAAAAACTCATAGTTTAATCAATCAAAATTCATTTATAAATCATTCAATTTATCTCTAAATCAAATTAAAATAATTTAAAGATAAATTTAAATTTTGGCCAATTAAATTTTAACTCACGGATCGTCCAATTAAATTCAACCAATAAATTATAGAGAAAATAAGATCTTTTAGAACTTTGTTGCCTAGCATCAGCTACTATTGTATTATAAATAGAGAATTCATCCAAATTATTTGAGAAAAAAAAAAAAGAATAAATTACATAAAACATCTGTGACGAATTTAAAGTGGCTCCTGAAATTTAAAATGTAATATTTAACTATCCAATAATTTGTTTTATTTCTTCTTTGCCCAAAACCATGACTTTTTTCATTATTTTCAACTTTCTTTTTCCTTCTTCTCCAACAATTCACCATTTTTTTCTTTAACTTTCTCCTTCCAACATTCAAACTCTCTCACTTCTCTCTAATTTTCCAACTAAAACCAAGAAAACTAAAGCAGCAACACCCACTATGTTCTTCAAAATTCCTAGAATCCGATGATGCTCCATCGGATTCTGGGTTCTTGGTTTTGAATCTAACATGAAAAAAGAACATGGGTGGAGGCATGTTTTCAAGCAGCTTTAGCACTCTATTTGGCGGCTAAATAAGCATTTCCTCAACTTCTTCAATCTTACAACTTAGTTCAAATAGCCCATCTGGTTTCAATTATTTACAAGAAAGCAAAACTGATTGCCAAAATGTTGATCGCCCTATATATCTGCAATGGCCTTGCTGTAGAAAGCAGCCCAAATGGGTGCAACTGCAAGTAATAGTATAAACTCTTCCATGATGCAAAAAAGCTTTACTAACAGCATGGCAGGTCATGACCAGTCCATTAGACCAACATCTTTTGAAGGAATGCAGTGGCAGAATACATCTTACGATCACTTCCCATCACAAACTGATCATTCAAGCATGGTTGAGATCAACAAGGATAGATTCTCTAACTTGCTCATGCAAAAAAGCCCTAATGAAATGGCCCAACTTTTTAATGTTGTCACAAAAAGCTCAGTAATGAATGATACGGGAATTTTCACTAATATGTTGATTAACGAAGCTGACCGAAACCAAGGCTTGATGAAAAACATGGAACATGAAGATAGTGGCAGTTCTAACTTGTTATAAGGGAGAACTCAGATGATGGAAAGGAACCTACCAGGGCCAACAATATTTGGAGTGAGCCGTGAAGGAAGTAATATTACAACCCTTAATTTCATGGGGATTGGAGGGTCAAGGCCAATCAATTTACATGAACAGCAGCATCAGCAACAAAGATTAGAACTAGAAGTAATAAGCCAATAAAGACTGCCAATAATAAAACCTTTCCGGCAACAACTCTCACATGGCGATTCAATTTCTAACTTCATCAGTTGGGTTTACCAGAATATCCAAAACTTGGTGGTGGGCAGTGGCCATAAAGTTTAGTCTTGGGTTGCTTATCGTCCTTGTCCATGTTTGTGCTTTCACTATTTTGGTCTTTTAGGATAATAGAAAAAATAGTAACTTTAACTCAAAGACTCAAACTTTTTTTTTGCCTTTGGGTTTTCTTCTCTCTCTATGAAGCAGGAAATGAGGAACAAAGAAAGAAAGAAAAGAATTCTGGATTTTAACAAGAAAAGTAAAGAGAAGTGAGAGAGTTTGAATGTTAGAGAGAGAAAGTCAAAGAAAAAAGGGTGAATCGTTGAAGAAGTAACAAAAAAAAGTTAAGCATTTAAGCTAAAAAAAAATCAAAATCATAAAATAATTAAGTGTCACAGTGAGGAAGAAAATCTGAAAATTGAAAGTTTTAAAAGGTCTTACAAGTCCAATAAAAATTATCTAAAAATCAAAATCTTTAAAATTTCAACAAATAATTAAATACAATAGTTGGGTAAAAAAAAAAAGATATGAAGAACCAAATTCTCCAAATCTCTCACAATTCCAAGAAAAACAATTTTAACATTAAAGTCTGAATATCCAAAAATCCGTAATTTGGTGCCAAAGTTTAAATTTCCAAAAATTCCTAAATTTGGGATCAAATTTCAAAATTTTCAAAATTTCCTAAATTTTGGAGTCAAGAGAATTTTTTAATTTGAAACCAAATTGTAATATTTACAAAAATCTCTAAATTTTGGGATCAAATTCAAAAAGCTCATAAAAATTTTAAATTTTGGATCCAAATTTATTTAATTCCAAAACAACCTCTTCTAATGATTTTTTTTTTTTAAGAAAAGAATAAAAAAATTTCTTTTATTAAACAATTTTAAGAGAATGCACTTCCATTCCTAATAAATTAAAATTATTATTTGACTTTGAATTTTTATTCTTATAATTTGTGTGTAAAAAATGAATCACTTTGAATAATACATTTACAATTAAAGACACTAGACTGAAAGAACAACTTTACAAAGGAAAACCTAAGTATGTACAACTAAGAGAAATGATTAACAAAGGCAAGTAGACTATGTACACACAAAACCGAAGCAATCTTAATACTAGCCTAGTGTATGTATACCAAAGGTGAACCAATTTATAGAAGAGTATGGTGAATGATGATTTGAACTTAAGACTCTTTACTCCTAATCTCAAATGATAGTGCAAAAAACTTGATTCAATAATTCTACAAGTGCACAAGCCGTAATAAAGACTATAAAAGTCTAAATGTCAATCCCATGAGAATTAATTAAAAAGATTCCTAGCCTAAGTATGCTTTTGTCAACCATACTCTATCTAAAGTTGGCTCAATCAAGGGATAAACATAAAATTATGCTAACTATGAAAATAAAATCAAACAAGCATCATGCATGACTGTAGTAATATGTAAACTAGCAATATGCATACTAAGTAAAATAAAAGAATGTCTGCAAATAGTAGCTAAGCTAGAATGCAATGACATGAACATGAATTAGAATGTAAACCTAAGCTAAGAATGAAAATGACAAATATCATAAACAAGGAAAACAGTAGCTAAAACAAATATAACCAAATTAACTAACTTTAACTAGCTCTAACTACCTTAACTAAACTTAACTTCCAACTAAGAAACTATAAAAAAACATTTTAATGAATGAACCAAGCAAGTTGTAAATTGACAAAAACAGTAGCTTAACTAAGACAAAACAAAATTAGCATGAATATTAAAGAACAAAACCACAAAATAGAAATGGAAATGCAAAAACCAAAGAAAAGATACAAGTTTGAAAACCACAAGTTAAATAAGCAAAACTAGATCCACATTACAGCAATTTAAATGAACTAAAGCTTGAAATTGTAACAAGTAATGATCTTAAAGTAAAACCATATTGAAGTGCAAATAATAAGAAAACTTGCAAGATATAAGCTAAGAAATGAAAACCGAAAGTAATTTGTAAAATTGAAAATTGTGACTCCAAGTTGGAAATTTGAATCTAAATCATGTAAATTTACATGAACATGAATTGGAAATTGAAAGAACATTCAAAAAACTATAAGAGAACTCAAATTGAAGAACAAAAAATTGAAAAGAAATGCCAAAATTAACAAAGAAAAGTCAAAACTGAAACTGAGTTAGGTTAGGAATTTACCGAGTCAAGGAAAGAAAAATTAGATCTAGAGGTTTCTAGGAAGAATGAACTGAGCTAAGACAAACTAAATCAACAAGTTTACAATATGATTCAACAAAGAAATAGCATCAAACAATTAAATTCTAACTCATTGAACTAAAATTTCAAACCGAGTGCATAAGCATGAAAAACAGTTGCAACAAAAAAAAAAATCATCCAAATCGCAAGTAAAAACACGAATATAAATGCAATCAAATAAGAATTAACAAGTAAAAAATAAAAAAAAACTCCTTCATCGAGGCTTTAACTTTTTGAAAAATAAAATCATGTACAAGAAAGCTCCTTTCCAATAAAGGCTTAAAATTTTAAAATTCTCATTCAAGAAAGCTTATTCTCAATAAAGGCTTGAAACTTTAAAATTCTCATTCAGGAAAGCTCCTTCTCAACAAAGGCTTGAAACTTTAAATAAAAAAAAAATCTGAAATTTTCAAGATCATGCCTTAAGGTCTTATAGATCATTCTTACCTTGAAAAAGCTTATTCTTAATAGAGGCATTAAAACTTAAGTGATTCTCTATATCTCACCTGGATAATCATTAATTTCTTCCAATGTCTCTTCTCAAAATTATTTCATCATCTATTTTTTTCTTACTTTCCAAGCATATGTAATGAATGCATGCAATGAATGAAAAGATTATCCATAATTCTCAAATTCAATTTCAAGATTCAAACTTTAATTATTCTTTCTTTCTAACATGCATGATGAATGGAATGAATATGAAGAAAAACAATGTACGCAAACAATGAATGCATGAGCTAAAGATTTTTCAAAATTCTAACATAATTTTACAATTCAAACTTTGATATTTCTTTTCTAAACATGTAGTGTATGAGTACAATAAATGCGATGATATATACATAAATTTAATAATTTAAAGTGTAGGAGTTGCAAACCAAATGCCAAGAAAGAAAGAAGTCCCTTGATATGCTGTCACTCATTCAAAGTTTAATTCTAACAATTGAGTTTAGCCAAAACTTTAAAGCTAGATCTATAATTCTGTAAATGGAATTTGAATGAGATTTTCTTCATATTTAAATATCTATGAATCAAAAATCTAAGGAAAAAATTTTGCTTAAAAAAAG